TGTGAAATATTGACTTATGAGAGAGATGCAACGAATTAAGGCGTCAGAGACGGTGAGGGGCCACCGGAAGACCGGAACAACGCATCTCAATCTCTAAGATAACAATATATACATACAGGCAGAGGATTAAGATACTAACAACCACCGCCGGCCGTCGGTTTGCGAGCGGAATAAATATTCTGGCCGGTGGTTGGTTGCATTTGCATACGGACATTATACCCAAATATATTTGTCGTCCGTGTCAATTATAGTGGCCACACCCACACATCACATCATCATAGCTTAGCTCATTCTGCTGTCTTCTTCTGTTCTGTGCTTGGCCCTTAATACGCCCGGAAACAAGGCAGAAGCAGCGCCCAAGGATTCGGAAAACCAACAACTAGCATAGCTAATCTTATTGTCGCGTAGAGGAGAATATTACCAGTAATATTTGTGCAATGCAATTATATTGTCGCGCCAGAATGAGCTTTGAATCGGGTTGTGGAGCTATGGACTGGAATATGATGCAATGTTGATTCAATGATATTGTTGTATTGGATAAATAATTTGAGGGAAGGACGTCTTTTAGCAATGAAATTGTACAAAACCTTGAAACTTATTTTGAGAGACTTGAGTGGAAAGAATTGGAGGAGGAAATTGTAAAAAACCTCAATTTTGCAAGTTGACAAAATCTGCTGCTCCCTATTTAATTAGCTTGGAAGGCTAATCCAAGATCAACACCTCCACCTAATTATTGGAATATTACTTGGTCATATCAATGACAGTTTCCAACACTAGATCAAAACAGAAGAAACTTGTAAGCTTCAACTTCCAAGACAGCCGGTCTCTTCCCAAGTTTAATTCCTTTTGATGACTCTTCTTGGACCAATCGCTTCACATTCGAAAGGAACCAAATCCAAATGACAAAAATCCAATCTCCCTAGAGATTACATATATACAAAGAAGCCAGCTAATCAGCCTGATTATAAATTAATTTATCAACACTTCATAGCTGGTTATAGTACTCGTTTCACATCAAATCACACCTCCAAAATCCCTACACATCGAACCGATGGTTATATCAAGTAATTTGCAATACATTTTTAGTATTGGAAATGGAAACCCCAATGTGCATATCTTTTAATGAATGTATAACTATAACTCAGGGTTCATTCGGTTTTGGTGATAGTGTCGAAATCGGGCTGCTCAATTAGTACGAGATTGTCTGCATTGAGCCAAACTCGCACCGATTTGTTCTTGGGTGTCTTCCCCAAAAGGGGAACGGATCAGGTGCATAACCTCGTAGTCAATAACCCATGCATGACACAATCAGAATCCGCTACATCACCGCCTTTTCTCTCTCCTGGAAAGCCTTTAATTTCCCCCTTCATCTTTAACGGGCGATTTCTCACTCGTTTTAACTCGGAATTAAATTTTTTTTTTGCACAGTTAGATCATATTAGTTGTGGTCTTCAAAATGATATCCACTTTTATATATTTTGGAACAAAAAAATTTGAGTAAGTTATTACCAGTCTATACCATTTGGTATTGACTAGTATTAAATAAGAGCATACAATATAGTATGAAAAATACCACCTCATACCAGGGTGGTATAGTATGGTATGGAGTTGGTAACGAGAGGTTTGCAATTTTTTCACCCAGAAATTTTTGAAATCCAATAGATCATGATTAAACCGTTCATTCGGTGCAAAAATTCCCGAAAACGACTAAAAAATGACGGAGATACCATATGGTATGGAGTTGGTAACGAAAGGTATGAATTTTTTTCTCAAAGAATATTGAAAATCGATCTCATTTTATAGAGACAACGAACTTGTTCCATCTGTGCAAACAAAATTGAAATCCGAGTTAGAATGAAGAAGATATGATCTGATTAAGAAAAATAGGGGAAATAAAATGTCTTTAATGTACAACCCTTAGATCTGCAGCCACTTAAAAGAACGGTCCAAATTTGGTTACTCATAGTTATGCACCCTATCTTGAGCCCCCCAAAAGGCCTCGTACTAATGAGTTTGGTGGGCACTAATATACAAGGGTCACTTCCCTTGTATTACCGATGTGGTACTTGGATTGTCCTCATAACACTCCTCTCAAGATAACGACCACGAACTTCGTGTTCTCTCCTCAACGATTATCTTAATCCACCAAACCATATGTAGATCACATTTGATCTACCAGACAAACGCAGACCTCCCTTGATTCGCCAAACACCTTGTATCAATGGCCTTCTCGTTACAATGATTTTTTTAGATGTGGAACTCTCTTTGATCCGCCAAACAAACGTGGATCGCTCTTGGATCCACCAAACAGAAGCATATCTCAAACCCGGAGGTCACCGAATGAGGGTCCCACCAAACTGATGTCCACCGTCGCGGATCCGCCGAACCATGCTCTTATACCACTTGTCGAAATTGGGTTGCTCAATTAGTACGATATTGTCCGCTTTGGGCCAAGTCCGCACTGGTTTACTCTTGGGTGTCCTCCCCAAAAGGTCTTACACTAATGAGTTTGGTGGACAATAATATACTTGGATTGCCCTCATAACAAATAGTTTGGTTGGATAGTTACAATGCATGCTATGTATACAATGTATCTTCTTTTTTTTCTGCACAAATAATACATGCATTGTTTGTTGAGGCGGTTTGATTGAGATTGCTGTGTTTTTCTTCTTCTTCCAACTATGTCCCTAACTTTTTATTTGTGTTGCTTCTTTATACTAAAAACAAAGGGTAAAAATGACATTTCACCCAAAAAATAATATAATTTATTTAAACACTACAATAACTATCACATAAACCAAACAATGTAAACTATATACATATATATTATTATGCATGCATTGAGGACAATATATCAATTTAATTATTATCGAAACCAAACAACCCCTATTTCACAGTGAAACGATGCTCCCAATAATCTGGTCGTGGGATATACTGTATTCATTGGTTATTATTACTTTATTATATTGATCCTAGGGTTTGAGTTTGGGTGGGGTTTAGCCATTACAGTTAGGATATAGTTTCCATTTGTACTAACTAGGTTAGGGTGGCTCAAGATAGGGTGCATGGTAACCATGGGTTATGCACCCATCAATAACCAAATTTAGACATTTCATTTAGAAAATCCAGATCTAAGGATGGAGAATTAAAGACCATTTTTATTTTTCTTAGCTTTTTTAATCGGCTCATATCTTTTTCGTTTTAACTCGAATTTTTTTTTTTTTTTGCACAGATGGAACGAGTTCATCTTGCCCTACAAAATGATATCAATTTTCAATATTTTTTAAGAAAAAAAAAATTCTGGCCTCTCGGTACCAACTGCATACCATATGGTATTTTTTTCGTTTTTAATTCGTTTTTGAAAACGTTTGCACAGAAGGGACGAGTTCATCATGATCTATTGGATCTACAAATTTCTGGGTGAACAAATTACATGACCAAAAAATACCACACAATACCATACAATACCACCATGGTATGGGGTGGTATATTATGGTATTTTATGGTATTTTCTTCGTTTTTAATTCGTTTTTGAAAACGTTTGCACAGAAGGGACGAGTTCATCATGATCTATTGGATCTACAAATTTCTGGGTGAACAAATTACATGACCAAAAAATACCACACAATACCATACAATATCACCCTGGTACAGGGTGGTATATTATGGTACACAATGATAAAAGTCGTAAATGATAGTTAATATACTTCTACTATCATGTATTCAACCATCCTACAGTCTTGGTTTGTTCATACCACCATGGTACGCTTTTCAAACCATAGGTATGTTCTTATTTCAATACCAGTCAATATCATATGGTATAGACTAGTAAAAAATGGCTCCATTTTTTTTTTGTTCGAAAAATATATCAAAGTGGATATCATTTTGAAGAGCACAATTAATCTGATCTAACTGTGTAAAAAAAACCGACTTAAAACGAGTGAGAAATCGTCCGTCAAAGATTAAGAAGGGGAAAATTAAAGGCTTTCCAGGAGAGAGGGATGCTGATGTCATGCTGATGTGGGCTGGTTACTCATGGTTACTCACCATAAGGTTACTGACCTAATCCGTTCCCGGGTAGGGTAGTCTCTAGTCTGGGTTTGTGAAATGGGGTCGGACCGTGAGATTATTTCTTGATACAACCTGATTTTAAGGGGTCGTTTGGAAGTTGTGATTGTTTTGTTGAGATTGTCATTATGCATGTATTGTTTACAATGCATCGTTTTTTTGTTTTTGTTTTTTTAGCAGAAACAATACATGGATTGTTTCTATGATGTGACAGAAACTATCACTCATTTTGAGTGATTGTTATATCTCAACTTTTAGTTGTGATTGTTGAGATAGTTGAGTTGAGATTGTTTTGTCTCAGCTTTTAGCTGATGCGACATACACACACATACGAAACGTTGTATTCTACAATGCATCAAATTCGATAATACATGTATAATATTATACATGCATTCTCAACAATACATCTATTTAACAATCGCAACTTCCAAACGATGCCCGTATAATATTATACATGCATTCTCAACAATACATCTATTTAACAATCGCAACTTCCAAACGAAACCTAAGTTTGTCGAGTAAATTGCAAGAAGGAAGACTAGGAATAGCAATTCGTTCGCACTATAATGTCCAAGTAAATAGTTTGATATAAAGTGGATAAAACAAGCACTTCGATGATAGAAAGATATTGTAATTAGATAGGGAATGCATTTTGGGTCCTCTTCTTCAGAGGAGCAAATGTTGGGCTTATGGCTCTGTCATTGCTAGTTAAAGATTACACTTGATGTGATCATTTTTCAGCCACTCTTGGATGGTTGCAAGAATCAATCTGGTGTCACAGTGTTAAGATTTGATGAAAATATTTGTGTTTCTAGTTTACGAGAACTTTTGCATGCGAAAATGTACAACTTGTCATATGAGGTACTGAGTGAATTTTATGACAAATACGTCCAATGAAAAATCCTCGTTTACCCCCTCACAATATCATAGCTCGAATTCTGGTGACTTTATGATTTAACATTCATCTGCCAAGAGTGCTGCCTCAAATGAAGTTGCACTAGACGATTTGAAAATTGCCAATTAGATTTTTTAAGCTAAGCAAATCCAAATTCAAAAACCCAAACTCCTAGAGATTTACATATTGACAAAGAAGAGAACTTTGACTTATTAATTGAACTAATCAACAGCTTATCGATATTTACATCACATCGTTTTTTTGTTTCAATATCAAAAACATTGTTCCCAAAAAACAAAGAAATTGAATTAATTAACTAATGAATAGAACCCGACCCGACCACCAACTGGAGCGGGCGGGGCGGCTCCATGGTTCGCCTCTTCCACAGGTTCACTTCTTTCCGGGGCCTTAGCCTCATCCCTTCCACGTCAGCAGCCGAAACGACCCGAATCGGCGCCGAGAAGGGGATCATCGCCTCCTTCGCGCCCATCTCATCGTCGCTGTACCCGCCTTCGTCGCCGTCGGAATCGTACTCCCGGTCAAACTGATCATGATCTGGCGCAATCCGAGCCGTCCAATCAAAATCCCCAAACCCATCCCGATGCCCGCTCGCAAACCGCCTCATCTGGCTCAAACACGGCGCCCTGTCCGTCAGCGGCTGCCCCGATTCTTCCGCCGCCGTCGCCCTTTCCCCGCCCAGTTCGTCGGAGACAAATAAATTATCGGCGGCGGAAGTACTGTTCGATCTCCTCTTCCTCCCCGGAGCGGACGACGGGCCCAATTTAAACGACCCGGATCCGAATATCTTCCAGATCCCGGGCGACCCGGCTTGTTGCGGCTTCGGGTTTTTCTGCTCCTTCGCCGCCGCAGACTTCTTGCTCTGTTTCTTCTCTTTTGCTGCCGGCTTGGGAATGACCGCGGTGGTCTTTTTACCGCCGCACTTCTTGTGCTTGATTTGCCCGATGCAGGAGATCTTCGGCGACGTCGGCTCCTCCGCCGCCTCCCCGGACTTGAACCGCCCGCGCACTTCTCGGGGAACCCTCGGCAGGAAAATTGGGCCGGAGAATCCTCTGTAATTTCCCTGGTAGTTCGGTACCTTGTGGTCGGAGAAGGGCTGATGCTGCTGCTGCTGCTTATTGTTGTGGTTAGGGTCTCGGGTCGGGCTGAAAGGTGGGTTGTTGAAGTTGATCGAAGAAGCTGCTTTGAGGAACTTGATTACGTTGTGATGGTTGCTGTTCTTCGCCTTGCTCTGTTTCTCCATTGCTGGTCTGTACTGGTGGAGAGAAGGGGAGAGAAGAGTGGATTGGTTTTGGAATTGGAATTGGAATTGAAATTGAAATTGAAATTGAAATTAGGTTATCTTTTCAGAATGGGATTATTAGATGGATTGTATATATATGGATTGAATTTCTGTATCTGGGGTGCGTTTGATTTGTGTGGAGACCGTGTCAGGAATTATATAGAGATGGTCAAAGGAGGTGGTGGGAGTGAGAAATTGATTTTCAAAGTTATTAATTAATTTCCCACGTTATGTTGTGGGCTTAATTAGCAAATGTTTTGTATTTTCAAGGGCAACTTACCATCCTCTCTCTCTCGTTGGTTTAAGATTTGTTACCTTCAAAGTACGTGGATGCGAATAGGTAATGAAATTCTTTAAATTAATCGATAATCTAAATTTGAGATTTCAGATGAAGATATGGTTGGTAAGAAACGAATTTATAATTTTTATCCGACTTGAATTCGATTAAGGAAAGGGATTTTGTTGATATTGCATTTTCGTATTGGACGTAACCATCTTCTAAAAATATATAAAAACCTCTATAAACATAAATTTCATCATCGTGAATGTGCTCGAAGTGTAAATATAATTTATCATGTTGTTAACATTGACCAACATCAATTTCTCCGGTACAACATTCATGCAAAGCATAAATATAACCGCATTATGAAACCATAATGCCGATTGTAAGTTGTAACTTGTATGAGTTAAGTAAGTTTAAATTTAATCCATTAGGCAATGGCTTCTCGTGAGCTATTATGCTACGCCGAAAGTCAAACTTGTTCAACTCTAGTTGATAAACCCAAACTAGCAAATAGCAATATCGATATCCATTAAACAAAAAGAATAGAAAAGGATAAGAAGAAACTTGTATGTTCGTCATTTCCACGTGCCTTGTAAATTCATACACTAGCTGATTAATGTAATGGAATTTCTAATTTTCCCCTGCTGAAAATTCATAATTATGCAGCTGAAAACGAAATCCATTAATACGAAGAAACCTACCAATGCCCCCAATTTGTCAAATACTTATAATTATTGGATGGTTCAAAGAACCAACCAACCAAGCAATAGTGTAAGAGCCAGCCGGCAACATTAATTAATTAATATATTATTTTATATAGGCTCTCCCCTACCATGCAATTTGTTATATCTTATAGTTCTTATTCAATTGTCTTCCGTAGAGGTTGATTTTGTATACATGTGAGACTCGTTACAAAGTTGAAAAGGTCGTGGAAAAAAATAATAATTCAAACTCGTGTTAATCAATACGTGCAAAGATTAATTAAGATAATCATGTGTGTTTCGTTGCAACGAGCGATTAGCATTGTAGAACCTTATAATTCGACGATATTAATAAATATATATATGCTAATGTTTATTCCTTTGAGTCTTAAGCATATTAACCGGAGATTGTCTTTGGCGATATTTATGTAGTTTTTATTTGGTTGATTGCCAACGGCAGCCTTTGTTTTTCACTAAAAGTCACATATGTACAAACGTTGTCCTAATTGGGGCATTTTCTTCTTCTCCTTATTGTAGCGTAGAAATTAGTGTTCTTGGCCTTGAGCCGTCAATGGCTCTCCACTCTCCAGCTGGTTATGTAAAACAAGAGATATCATGCATGTGAAGACAAACATATGTTCTTTAATTGACTTGAGATGAGAGGTATTTGGCGCACTCCCTCTGTTTTAATAAAATCGTCTTGACTGTTAAACATATGTACAAAACAATAAGCGCACACCTTTTTACAGTTTGTTCAAATGAACGGAAGGAGACATTAGGACCAGTTTTTTTTTTTTTTTTTGTGCGACATGGTGATCCATGGGGTCGGTAAATATTTCTACTAAAAAATAATTTTAGATCGAGACTATTTACATGTAATCAGAAAAAAATTAAAAGATGTGCGTTATAATATCTACACTCGTTGTTCATGTACCAAAATAATAAATTTTTTATAAGGATAATATAGATTTTTACTTTTTTGTAATTAAGGTACTATTTAAGGGATTCGAGGAGTCTGAGATTTCCATGTTCCAGATTAGCGGTGTTATCACTAGACCAAGTCGTTATTGGTCCAAAATAATACATTATGTGAGGGGGGAAACATTTTCGCGCGTTTCCTTAGGCAAAGATTACTGCCTTGCTGTGCAGATGTAAAAACACATATTATTACGTAAATTAATTATACAAGTAATAACAAAGCAAAGGCTTAGTATTTCTCAAGGCTTGATCTGCCCAAAGCAGGAGATGTTGGGCGAAGTAGGCTCGTCTCGTCGGAGTTGTTTTCCGGCGAGATAATGAGGATTCTGGTCCGATGAAACCTTCATGTCTCGTCGGAGTCTGAGCGGAGGAGATGATCGGGGGAGGAACTTAGCTTGAAGATGAGTTTCATGCAGTTGTTCTTCTCCTTCGGCTCATCATTGGCTTGCTGCTTCTCCATTAACGTCGATCGAGTTGTGCCCGCAGACAGTCTTGCTAAAGGTCAACGGAGTAGAGTTTTTGATTGGTCAACGAATTAGGGGGGTGGAGGAGCTGGGAAGTCTTTGTGGGTTTATTATGATAGCCACACGTGGTTCACGTTTGCATAATGTTTGTTAGAGGTCGGCTGCTTTGGTCCGGTGGTCAAAGTACGTGCATGGCCATGGATGGTTCGAGGAAGCAAACCAAGAACTATATATTAGCACCACCATGATCAGTTGAGTTGAGTGGACAGTCCAAAATATCAAGCCCATGACTCACATCATAGGCCCATCATCACAATTTGATTAACTGAATTTTCTAAAGTCATACATCAGGAGGAAAAGGCTGAACGATTCCAAAATCTATATCATATATGCCCCATCCCTAGGAAAAAATCCCAAAATACTCTAATTATTAATTTTTTTTTCCAAAATACAGTACTTATAAACTTATTTCCCAAAATACAGCAGTTTCAACATCACTGTTGTAGACCAAGACAGTGATGGCAATCACCGTTTTTTACCAAAACGGTGATAGCATCATCGCTTTTAACCAAAACAGTGATGCTATCACCGTTTTGGAAAAAAACGGTGATGCTATCATCGTTGTGGACCAAAACAGTGATTCAATCACCGTTTTGGTCAAAAACGGTGATAGCATCATCGCTTTCAACCAAAACGGTGATGAGTTCTCCGCGTTTGTGCGAAACAGTGATAATCGACCTTATCATCGCCGTTGACGAAAGCGATCACATCATCGCCATGGACCAAAACGGTGATAATCAACCACGTTTTAGAGCCCTGGTAGGTGGAAAATTAGGTCACAGCGACCTGGCTATCACAGCTTTGGACAAAAGCAGTGATGTGTTCACCGCCATTGTCCTCAGCGGTGATTGCTAAATAATTTTCCTATAAATACTGACCTCCACTTCCCCTCTTGCTAACTTACAGAAAATTAGTACAAAAATTAGTGTTTTATTAGTCGTTTTCTCAGCTGGTTTGGAGTTGGTTTACTGCTCAAGAAACTCGTCGGGATTCGGTATGTTATAATTATGTAATGTTTACATGTTGATGTGTTAGTAATTTATATGTCTGTATTTAGTGAATTGCGGTTATTGGAAAATATGTTATGATATATTTAGATTAATTATGATATGATAGATGTTAGTTAGTACTGAATTTAGATGAATTTTTTTAGTTTTCTCATGATAGATCGGGAGTCGGTATGTTATAATTATGTATTGTTTACATGTTGATGTGTTAGTAATTATATGTCTGTATTTAGTGAATTGCGGTTATTGTAAAATATGTTATGATATATTTAGATTAATTATGATATGATAGATGTTAGTTAGTTAGTTATGAATTTAGATGAATTTGCTTAGTTTTCTCATGATAGATCAATTACATGCGTTTGTTTATGGGTTTGGATGATATTGTTTTTGTATCCCTATTCTACTAATTATATACTATACTTAATTATTATAAATTGCAGACATGGGTAAATTTAAGAAGTTTCGGCTTATTATTCGGTGGAATGGTCGGGTGACAAACTCGAACATTGGGATTGACTATGAAAATGGCGAATCCACTATGCTAAAAATTGAGTCGAGATTCTCGTGGCAAGAACTCCATGACATTTGTGCAGAAAGGACTTGTACGGGCGGGCAAAGGAGAGTTGGTCAAATTGCTTACAGCTATCCAAACATGAGTGCTGGCGGAATCATGTACGAAAAAGTTGTCATAAATGATGATGACTCGGTGAACATGATAATACAGTTCCTATCTGACAACGGGGTGCGGCTTGCAGAGGTGTATGTCGAGACCGAGCCGGTCGGTGAAACTCATTCTCACCAGTATTCTTGTGATGATGGTTTTGCAGGAGGGTATGGCTGGGGTGGTAGTTCAAGTAACTACGGAGGAGGTACTTCTGCAGGAGGGTATGGCTGGGGTGGTACTTCAAGCAACTACGGAGGAGGTAGTTATGAAGGAGGTGTTGGGTGGGAAGAATACCCGCAACATGCTGAGACTGCCGTCAATGTCGTTCAGCCTGACGGTGATCAATGGCCTGCTTGGGGTCCAGAGTGGGCTGACATTGAGAACACCCTTCGATCTGGGCGTACTTCGCATGACCAAGAAGACGATGTTGGTTATGCTGGTAACGATGACCATCCTGAGTCGAGCTATCCATTCGCCTCTAGTGACGATGAAAGTGAGGAAGATTTGAGATCAGTCAGTGAGGAGGAAGATACGGACGATATGGACGATATTGATGACAGAGAGGTGGCGTTCCGTCAGGCACCAACGCCTTACTACACAGAGGTTCCTGATCAATTTTTATATGGTCAGAACGATGCCCCTGACTTTCGGCCCATGCCTGTGTATAATCCGACTGCTAATTTGGAAGTGGGTATGGCGTTCACTTCGAAAGCCGATGTGCAAGATGCTTTTAGCGAAGAAGCCATGCGGCATAACTTCGAATGGAAGGTAAAATATTCTGACACCAAACAACTGCATGTCATTTGTAAGAATGCTGGAGAGGGTTGTATGTGGCAACTTCGGGCTGCATATATGAAGAGAAAGGGCGTCTGGGTCATGCGAACAGTAGAGAACAACCACA